ATAATGGAAGTTGTAGATTTATACTGCTATCCTAAACCCTGATCTTTTTTTGCATAAGATTTTATATCAGTACCTATGTAACATCCTTAATTCTTTGTAAATGTTCCATAATATTTGATTGTATGTAACATACTTCATTCTTTGTAAATGTTCCATAATATTTGATTGTATGGATATGTCAGGTTTTTTGAGTCAGCCTCCTGATATATAGATGGCCTTTCTCTTACCAGTTATGCTGTAATGTATAATCTTGCTACATGTTATTTTGTATACACACACACACACACACACACACACACACACACACCCTCACTTTAGGTTAGATCTGAGAAGAATCACTGTAATTTTGGTAGATATGATCAATTTGCTTGCCAGTGTATGTTCCCACTAGAAAAAATATGTCAGAGTGCCTGTCTTTTCCCACATTCTCACTAACATGATGTGTTATCAGAATTTTTATCCTTGCCAATCTGATAAAGAGAAAAGGTATTTCATAAAGTTTTAGTTTGCACTTCTCTTATTAGTGAAGTTGTGTGGCTTTTCATGTTTAAGACATACTTGTTACACAGTAGGGTGACTATTGCAAATAACAATGTAATAAATATTTCAAGATAGCTAGAAGAGAAGATTTTGAATGTTGTCACTCCAAAGAAATAAATATTTCAAATAATGGATATGGTAATTACCCCACTTGATTATTATACTATGTATATTCATGCATTGAAATATCACATTGTACACCATAAATACGTACAATACTATGTGTTAATTAGAAATATAAAATTAAATTTTTTAAGACAGGTTCTTGAATTTTTCTGTCAATTTTGTGTTCAAACTTTTCACCCAGTTCTCTTGAGTTGTCGATCTTTTTCTTACTGATTTGTAGAAGTCCTTTATAAGTAGGGAAATTAGGTTTCTGTCTTGAACATGAATTGTGTTTTGACCCTAGTTTTTCATTTGTATTTTGACTTTGTTGATTTTTGATGAAAAATTTAAAATGTTCATGGAGTTAATTTTATTGGGCCTTTTTTGAAATAATGTGTATAGCTTTCAGATTTTGTATTATACTTAGAAATATCTTTCCCTCTCAAAGGTTATAAAAAGATTATTTGGTATTTCCTCTGAATACTATTAAAGCCAAGCATTTTTTTTCTTTTAAAAATTTAACATATTCCCTTTTCTAGTTTTTTGACATCTGTGTGGCTCTCCCTACGGATACAAGAGTAGCTCAGCAGTGTTATTTACAAGTTTCCTGACTATCTTGACATGTAACTCATCTAATCCTGGAACTTACATTTTGGTTAACTAGGAAATTTCTGATATATTCCTTACTCAGTAGAGAATTTCATTCTGATTTACTTATATTTACTCATCTTTTTTTTTTTTTCAGAGCAAAGCTTATTCTTTTTCATATAATGTATGCAGAAGCAAAATAGAAAATAAGTTCTCCATTCTCTCATTTCTACTTTCTTTTCAAAAATTCTTTTTTATTTTTGAGTATTTGAGAACATGTGTTCATCTTCCATGTTTTAGCTCTCTAAAAGAAGAGGGTGACTCTTGATCACAGCCAGACTTATTTCCAATTTACTTAGCTTTTTCAAGAAATATTTAGTAAGTAATGACTACATACTTAGCCCTTTTCTAAAAAGATAATAGCAAAATTTATGATAATGCCCTTATGTTTTAGAAAGACCAGGTTTCTCCACATAATATGATTATTATTAGAGAATAATATTTGTCACTTTAGATATAGCCCATAACTTCTCTTTGCAAACATGGTTGGATTGTGTTTGAGTGAAATACCTAGAAGTTCTGAAAGAACATTTTCTTCTCTGAAGTTCATTTTTCAAAGGTGTAGTGGTTAATAAAATTTTCAGAATTGGATCTATAAGAAGGCTAGGCCATATTTGTACCAGCTGCAAATATTCAATGCCAGTCATAGAATGTTCTTCCAGCCACTTGTGGCAAGTAAAATAGATTTTTACTGAGCTATGCTAGTGTTCCAGTAATGCTCTTTAAAAAAAAAAAAAAGGAAACGATTTATTTAAATAGCTTATGGCCCACTTGCTCCTCTGGTTTCTCTCTCTCTCTCTCTCTCTCTCTCTCTCTCTCTCTCTCTCTCTCTCTCTCTCTGTGTGTGTGTGTGTGTGTGTGTGTGTGTGTGTGTGTGTGTGTGTGTGTGTGTTTTCTTTGTCTTTTTTAGTTTGATAAATTCAAGTTGGTACTTGGCTCTTGAAAGCTAATTAAAAAAATTCTGACCTTAAAGTGAATTAGAGGTTTCAAGTTTTTGACAGTATCTCATAGCTTAAAAAGCTGTATATTAATAAACGTGGATCAGCATTTGCTTTCTTAGAAAAAGTAAAATTGATTCTTGTTGAACCCAAGTATGTTGCCTTTCCATGTTAATATATTTATAGCTGCAGTTTGTAAAAAAAAAAAACCTTTTTTTCCTCCCTCCAATTTCTGTGTTTTTTAGTGAGATTCTCTTTTTTCCATAAAACCTTTTTTTCCTCCCTCCAATTTCTGTGTTTTTTAGTGAGATTCTCTTTTTTCCATAGAACCAGACTGTGAGGCTGATATGACAAAATCTTCAGATATTTTGGGGTTCTTTTTCTAACATGATTCTGCCCTCTCACATGACTCCCCCCAACTCCCTCTCTCTTTGTTGCCCTTAGTCTTTCCACATTCCTACTTTTCCCTCACCCAATTTGGGAGCATTAGGTTAATACACATACTAAGGAATGGAGATATTATTAGAGTTTTCAAGTTGATCGTTTCTGTTCCTTTACTTGTCCCAAAGTCCTGAATTAAACCGAGGACTGCCGATGTCTAAAGTACTGATGCTGATCATATAACATTTTCCTGAAGAAATAAATGGTCTTCTTACCTCTTGGAGCAAAGGAGTGAAAGTCTTAAGGTGGTATTCTGAACCACAGAAGTATAAAATAACTATGAGGATAGATATGGTGTAACAGAATTAACACATCTAGACTGGAAGAGACATGCTAATAAGCAACAACTAAATTAAGATGTATGTCATACATTTAAGTGAATGAGACTAATGCATCATTTATTGGATTGAATAATTAACTGCAAGTTAATGTTAGAGTGGCTCTCTCTATAAAGATGAAGTAAAATAAGCTTTAGTACATAGGAGTTCAAGTCTTGGTATTAGTAACTGACTCTGCTGTTCGTTCACCAGTAATGTGAACTCAAGCAAATCACTTAACCTTTTTTTTTGCATCACTTTCTCCATCTATAGCGTGAGTATAATACACTTACCTTTCCTGGATACACACACATGCACACACACTACTTGAACATAGTATCCAACACAAAAAAAAGCCGTTCGATAGATGCTAAGCTTCTTTCCTTCCTTTTTTTTTTTTTTTTTTCTTTTTCTTTTTTTTTTTTTTTTTTTTACTAACATAAGAGTATTGGAGTATGACAAGGTTAAAGGTGCTAAATCAGGTAGTGGTTGTTTATGCCAGCAAATATTTCTGTTGGAACAATTGGCAATAATAGCTTATTTCATAAGAGTTAACTAATTTTGTAGATTATTTTCTGTTGTTTTTTCCTAGTTGTGATAATCTTTTTATGATAAATATTGAGTATCTTTGTCTTCCCATCCTTAGCTGGCTTATATGTTCAGAAAATTACAGATTTACCCATTTTCATTTCTTGTGGCATTTTCTAGCCTATTTTTTTAAATCTAAATCTCATAAAACTTTTTCCTCTATTTAAATTACATTTGGCCTTTTGATATTTTTCTTTTTGTTTAGTAAGAGTTTTTTCTTCTTTCTCAGTATTTCATATGACTTTTAGAATTTCTTCTTTTAAGGTCTTTCTTTAAAATCTTGCTTAATATATAGCGCTACTTTCCACTTAAGAACTTATTTTTCTCTTACAAATTACCTAGAAAAATAGATTTAAACAAGAAAAATTGTCTTTTAAAAATTAGAATGTTTTATTTGGACTCTGAAGGGTCCACTCCAAATGGTAGAAATAACATCTAAAGTATTATAGTTTAGGTATCTGAAAAGGTTTAGTTGATACGGTTACCACTTGAAATGTGGGTTTTTCTTTAGCATTTCTTGAAATGAATAGTGAAATATAAGATTTGCCATCTTACATGGTGTTATTTATGAATTAAATCTTAATAATTATACTTTTCCTGTCTTCAAAATTATGTAGCAATCATTTATCGCAAAAGCAAGGAATGGTTAAAAGATGGATCCTGCTTAGTGTCCATTCTCAGTTTAAACTTAAAACTCTGCTTTACTCCTAACATGAAAGGATGATTAGAATTACCTGCTTGCTGTGACAGTGTGTTTCATGGTCCATTTTCTGTGGAAAAGATTGTGAGATTAAGAAGCAAACAACTTTAGTTATAAATGACAGGAGAGGATCATTTCTGTAATTAAATTATATTGTATTTCAAAAATCCAGTTTAAGGACCACCTGCTCTAAGGTGACATTTCTTTTCTGCTGATTTTCAAAATTGGAGGATAGGAGCTTCAGGATTCTGGTGTTTCCAAAATTATTTTTATCATTTAAAAAATATTAACATATATAATGATTACATTCCTATTTCTTGTTTTTATTTTGCTTAATAATTTATTTTAATGTAATGTAACAATAGCATCTAGAGTTTGAGCCTTGACTCTAGGAAGTCATTAGGAAATTCTCTTGGTGGTAAGGGACATAATAGGTTTTGTAAATAGTCAGCTGGCCTGTGCAGTTTTTTTATGGTTTAGCTATAAAAGTGAGTTTTTCATGACTTTCAAGATAGAACTAGAGGCCCAGATTTATTATATTGCATTATATACTTACCGGTAAATCTCTATATCGCTTCTGATTGAAATACTAAATTTGGTTCACATGAATTAAACCTCCAAGTAATATATTTTAAAACTTTATGAAAAAGAAATCAAGAAATAAACCATTGTCTGGTGCAAAACAAGTAAGTATTATTACTTTATACACTGTTATCTTTTCAGGCTCATGAGAGGCTAGAAGATTACAAACTAGAAGCTGTCAGTGACAATAATTTGGAATTAGTCAATGAAATTCTTGAAGACATCACTCCTCTAATAAATGTGGATGAAAATGTGGCAGAACTGGTTGGTATACTCAAAGAGCCACACTTCCAGGTAACTTTCCCTATCACTCCACTCCCAAGCTCCCTGTATGCCCAAAGTATTTCCCTTTAACATTTAAGTTCCAGTTTAAGGTGATGTTTTCTTCAAGTATCATTTAGGGCCATAATTGGTAAGTATGTAAGTTCCAACCTTGGTATCTTAATGTGCTGATATGCTGAGAATACGACAACAGATATATGTAACTATAATACTACAAAAATGTACACTGTCACAGAAATACATCACAGTGTAATTTTCCTTTGTGCCATTAAAGAAAACAACCTTAATTCATCATCAGATCACTTGCCGCAGCCATTTTCCTAACTACGATAATGGATTTTTTTCTTCCTCACTATGATTCTGTTTCTTAGTCAATACTTTTTACTATTACTTCTCAAGATTGTTATGCAGTCAGTGACCACGGAATGTAAGAGAGCTGTGAATGTACAGAAACTGTTATATAATATAATCTCCATAGGTACTAAGTATCATTTTAGCAATGGTATGTACCAGTGAAGAGTTCATCTGTTTTAGGAAGAAGAATGCATTTCAGAAGAGAAAAGGCAGGAAAGATTTCTTGTAAACTTATTATAATTAAGACAATGTGATATTGGGGAAGGTGTTAGAAAAATTAACTCATTTAAAAGAATAGAAACCACCCATAAGTACATTCAGCCAGATACGGCAACTTGATTTATGACTGGGACACTGCATTTTAGTGGAAAAAGAATGGTGCTGGAATAGAATAAAGTAAGTGTCACCTGCTTTCCCTTGTAAATCTTAGCACTGAAAATCAAATGGTAACAGCCTTTTGCTCTTTCTCAGCGAAAGACTTTATGTGACCCTTCAACAATGTCACTGCAAAATATGAAGGTTTTTTTTTTTTTTAAGCAAGAAATAAACCTTTATTGCTTTTTTTTTATTGCAGTTTAGGTTTTGGGGTACATGTGAAGTACATGCAAGATTGTTGCATAGTTATGCACATGGCAGTGTGATTTGCTGCCTTCGTCCCCATCACCTATATCTGGCATTTCTCCCCATTTGTCTATTTTGGCTTTTGTTACCAGTGCTTTTGGTGTTTTGGTCATGAAGTCCTTGCCTACGCCTATGTCCTGAATGGCTTTGCCTAGATTTTCTTCTAGGGTTTTTATGGTGTTAGGTCTTATATTTAAGTCTTTAACCCATCTGGAGTTAATTTTAGTGTAAGGTGTCAGGAAGGGGTACATTTGCTGCTTTCTGCACATGGCTAGCCAGTTTTCCCAACACCATTTATTGAACAGGAAATCCTTTCCCCATTGCTTGTTTTTGTCAGGTTTGTCAAAGATCAGATGATTGTAGATGTGTCGCATTGCCTCCAAGGCCTCTGTTCTGTTCCTTTGGTCTATATCTCTGTTTTGATACCAGTACCATGCTGTTTTGATTACTGTAGCCTGGTAATATAGTTTGAAGTCCGGTAGTGTGATGCCTCCCGCTTTGTTCTTTTTGCTTAGGATTGCCTTGGCTATGCGGGCTCTCTTTTGGTTCCATATGAAATTTAAGATTTTTTTTTCAGTTCTGTGAAGAAGGTCATTGGTAGCATGATGGGGATAGCGTTGAATCTGTAAATTACTTTGGGCAGTAAGGCCATTTTCACAATATTGATTCTTCCTAACCATGAGCATGGAATGTTTCTCCATCTGTTTGTGTCCTCTCTTATTTCATTGAGCAGTGGTTTGTAGTTCTCCTTGAAGAGGTCCTTTACATCCTTTGTTGTTTTCCTAGGTATTTTATTCTCCTTATAGCAATTGTGAATGGCAGTTCGTTCTTGATTTGGGACTCTTTAAGTCTGTTATTGGTGTATAGGAATGCATGTGATTTTTGCACATTGATTTTGTATCCTGAGACTTTGCTGAAGTTGCTTATCAGTTTCAGGAGATTTGGGGCCGAGACAATGGGGTCTTCTAGATATACAATCATGTAGTCTGCAAATAGAGACAATTTGACTTCCTCCTTTCCTATTTGAATGCCCTTTATTTCTTTTTCTTGCCTGATTGCTCTGGCTAGAACTTCCAGTACTATATTGAATAGGAGTGGTGAGAGAGGGCATCCTTGTCTAGTGCCAGATTTCAAAGGGAATGCTTCCAGTTTTTGCCCATTCAGTATGATATTGGCTGTTGGTTTGTCGTAAATGGCTTTTATTATTTCGAGATACGTTCCATCAATACCTATTGAGGGTTTTTAGCATAAAGGGCTGTTGAATTTTGTCAAAGGCCTTCTCTGCATCAATTGAGATAATCATGTGGTTTTTGTCTTTGGTTCTGTTTATGTGGTGAATTACATTTATAGACTTGCGTATGTTGAACCAGCCTTGTATCCCCGGGATGAAGCCTACTTGATCATGGTGGATAAGCTTTTTGATGTGCAGTTGCAATCAGTTTGCCAGTATTTTATTAAAGATTTTTGCATCAATGCTCATCATGGTTATTGGCCTGAAGTTTTCTTTTCGTGGTGAGTCTCTGCAGGTTTTAGTATCAGGATGGTGTTGGTCTCATAAAATGATTTGGGAAGGATTCCGTCTTTTTGGATTGTTTGGAATCGTTTCAGAAGGAATGGTACAAGCTCCTCTTTGTATGTTTGGTAGAATTCAGCTGTGAACCCATCTGGACCTGGGCTTTTTTTGGGTGGCAAACTCTTAATTGCTGCCTCAACTTCAGACCTTCTTATTGGCCTATTCAGGGTTTCGACTTCTTGGTTTAGGCTTGGGAGGATGCAAATGTCCAGGAATTTATCCATTTCTTCCAGGTTTACTAGTTTATGTGCAAAGAGTTGTTTGTAATAATCTCTGATGATGCTTTGTATTTCTGTGGAACCTGTGGTGATACCCCCTTTATCTTTTTTTATTGCATCTATTTGATTCTTCTCTCTTTTCTTTTTTATTAATCTGTCTAGTGGTCTATTTTGTTGATCTTTTCAAAAAACCAGCTCCTGGATTTCTTGATATTTTGAAGGGTTTTTTGTGTCTCTGTCTCCCTCAGTTCTGCTCTGATCTTAGTTATTTCTTACCTTCTGCTAGGTTTTGAGATTTTTTGATCTTGCTCCTCTAGCTCTTTCAATTTTGAAGATAGGGTGTTGATTTTAGATCTTTCCTTGCTTCTCATATGGGCATTTATTGCTATATATTTTCCTTTAGACACTGCTTTAAATGTGTCCCAGAGATTCTGGTATGTTGTGTGTTGGTTCTTGTTGGTTTCGAAGAACATCTTTCTTTCTACCTTCATTTGATTGTTTATCCAGTCAACATTCAAGAGCCAGTTGTTCAGTTTCAATGAAGCTGTGCGGTTCTGAGTTAGTTTCTGAATTCTAAGTTCTAACTTGATTGCACTGTGGTCTGAGAGACTGTTATGATTTCCATTCTTTTGCATTTGCTGAGGAGTGATTTACTTCCAATTATGTGGTCAATATTAGAGTAGGTGTGATGTGGTGCTGAGAAGAATGTATATTCTGAGGATTTGGGGTAGAGAGTTCTGTAAATGTCTATTAGGTTTGCTTGGTCCAGGTCTGAGTTCAAGTCCTGGATATCCTTGTTAATTTTCTGTCTGGTTGATCTGTCTAATATTGACAATGGGGTGTTAAAGTCTCCCACTATTATTGTGTGGGAGTCTAAGTCTCTTTGTAAGTCATTAAGAAATTGCTTCATGTATCTGGGTGTTCCTGTATTGGGTGCGTATATATTTAGGATCGTTAGCTCTTCTTGTTGCATTGATCCTTTTACCATTATGTAATGTCCTTCTTTGTCTCTTTTGATCTTTGTTGCTTTAAAGTCTATTTTATCAGAGACAAGAATTGCAACTGCTGGGGTTTTTTTTGCTCTCCATTTGCTTGGTAAATCTTCCTCCATCCCTTTATTTTGAGCCTTTGTGTATCCTTGCATGTGAGATAGGTTTCCTGGATACAGCACACCAATGGGTTTTGGCATTTTATCCAATTTGCCAGTCTGTGTCTTTTGATTGGGGCATTTAGTCCATTTACATTTAGGGTTAATGTTGTCATGTGTGAATTTGATCCTGCCATTTTGATGCTAGCTGGCTGTTTTGCCTGTTAGTTTATGCAGTTTCTTCATTGTGTTGATGCTCTTTAGCATTTGGTATGTTTTTGGAGTGGCTGGTACTGGTTGTTCCTTTCTATGTTTAGTGCCTCTTTCAGGAGCTCTTGTAAAGCAGGCCTGGTGGTGATGAAATCTCTGAGTACTTGCTTGTTCGTAAAGGATTTTATTTTTCCTTTACTTATGAAGATTAGTGTGGCTGGATATGAAATTCTGGCTTGAAAGTTCTTTTCTTTAAGGATGTTGAATATTGGGTCCCACTCTCTTCTGGCTTGTAGGGTTTCTGCTGAGCAATCTGCTTTGAGTCTGATGGGCTCCCCTTTGTGGGTAACCCGACCTTTCTCTCTGGCTCCCTTTAGCATTTTCTCCTTCATTTCGACCCTGGTGAATCTGACGATTATGTGCCCTGGGGTTGGTCTTCTTGAGGAATATCTTTGTGGTGTTCTCTGTATTTCCTGGACTTGAATGTTTGCCTGCCTTGCTAGGTTGGGGACGTTTTCCTGGATAATATCCTGAAGAGTATTTTCCAGCTTGGATTCATTCTCTCCATCACATTCAGGTACACCTATCAAACGTAAATTAGGTCTTTTCACATAGTCCCACATTTCTTGGAGACTTTGTTCATTCCTTTTTACCCTTTTTTCTCTAATCTTGCCTTCCCGTTTTATTTCATTGAGTTGATCTTCGACCTCTGATATCCTTTCTTCTGCTTGGTCAGTTCAGCTGTTGAAACTTGTGTATGCTTCGCGAAGTTCTCGTGTTGTGTTTTTCAGCTCCATCAATTCACTTAAATACCTAAGTTGTTTATTCTTGTTAGCATTTCATCAAATCTTTTTTCAAGGTTCTTAGTTTCTTTGCATTGGGTTAGAACATGTTCTTTTAGGTCAGAAAATTTTCTTATTACCCACCTTCTGAAGCGTGATTCTGTCAA